GGTTGCTATTACTTGGCTCTGGGAGGTTGGCTTGTGGAGCCATCCTTCCTTCCTCCCCCCACTAACAGGGAAAATCCCTACGAGAACAGTCCCGAGGATTGTCTGTGCCACTGCTGGACCTGGGGCCCGCTTGGCTGGTCCATCATTGGTGTCAGAACCTGGCCTCAGCCAGGACAGCACAGGCTGGGTGCTGCTTCTCACTAACAGGGACGTGGTGGCCAGAGTAGCCTACCCGAGGGAAGGGGTCCTTAGATGAGTTTGGTTGTGCATGCTTATAATCCTTGGCTGAGGCAGGAGGATCATTGATTGCAAATTCAAGGCCACCCTGGTAGTTAAAAATTCTTTTACCTTTTTTTTCCCGTTATTTTTGTTTTTTCCAGACAGTGTTTCTCTGTGTAGTCCTGGCTGTCCTGAAGCTCACTCTGTAGACCAGGCTGGCCTCGAACTCACAGAGAAACACCTGTCTCTGCCTCCCAAGTGCTGGGATTAAAGCATGTGCCACCACCGCCTCACTTTTACCTTTTTTGTATTTTTGAAAATTTCAAAGTGGACCACTGAGACAGCTCAGCGAGTAAAAGCACTTGCCACACAAGCCTGATGGCCTGGGTTTGGTTCCTGGAATCCATGGTAGAAGGAGAGAACCAATTCTTTTTTTTTTTCTTCTTTTTTTTTTTTTTTTCTTCGAGACAGGGTTTCTCTGTGTAGCTTTGTGCTTTTCCTGGATCTCGCTCTGTAGACCAGGCTGGCCTCGAACTCACAGAGATCCGCCTGCCTCTGCCTCCCGAGTGCTGGGATTAAAGGTGTGCACCACCACCGCCCAGTGAGAACCAATTCTTAAAAGCTATCCTCAGTCCTCCATACCTGTGATGTGGCATTAATGGCCACGCTCAGTACTCACTCAAACACATCATACAAATAAATACACAATAATAATAACAAAGAAAATTTCAAATAGAGTAAAGCTTCCTAGGGCCTGTTCTGACATTTAAATGATTATAGCCTTGGGTGGTTGTAATTCTGTTAGTAACAGCCTCCCCCACTCCGGAGCTGAAGCCCTCTTAGGCATCTCTTTACCCCTCCTGAAACCTACATGGTGTGGTAACACCACACCTTGGATCTCGCCCAGTTCCTGGTCTGACAAATGGTCTGTCTCTTCTCCCATAGTTAGAGTGTTTCTGTATACTCTGCTCTGTTGGATGGAAGGGGTCGTTGGGTTACAGACTTTAACATATTTGTGGGCTATTATGTTTTTTACTCAGAGCTCTGAACATGTCCGAGTTTGTCTGTGACCGGTCAGCAAGGCCTTATGTTTATGACCTAATTGCTGTGTCCAATCACTATGGAGCCATGGGGGTGGGTCACTGTAAGTATTGGCATCTGCTTCCTTCCACCAAGGAAGTGCCCTCCTGGTGTTCTCTCAGCCTCTTCTTCCTTGATGCCAGGCACTGCCATAAGCCCTTGGCTTGTTTATGGTCTCGGGGCTGTGGGCTTTCTCAGTCTCTCCTCCCTCCCACCCCCTTCCTTTCTCCTTTCTAAATTTTCATATTCTTTAATTCAGTAGTGCTAACTTTGTGAGAGGTTTTGTTTTTTGTCAACACAGTTCCACTGATTAGCTGATGCTGGCCTGGGACTCATCATGTAGTCCAGCCAGGGTGTCTAGGGTCCTGGCAGTCCTTCAGTTGGCCGTAGCCTCTCACCGTGCCTCTGGATCATCTGACAAAACCATTGGCCTTTGTTTATTTTGATTTTTCAAGTAAGGCTTTCTCTTGTGTGCAGCCCTGGCTGTCCTGGAACTAGCTGTGTAGATTGTAAACCAGGCTGGCCTCCAACTCAGAAATCTGCCTGCCTCTGCCTCCCAAGTGCTGGGTTACAGGTGTGGGCCACCGAACCGACTCACTGACCTTTTCTAACAGTGGTGTTAGTAACAGCATTTGTTAGCACAGCTGTTGAGGGCCTTGATCAGAGAGTAGTTAGCCATTTCCCAGTGACGAATGGAGAAGACGACATAAAATCCCTGTCGTTACAGAAGTAGTACCCCAGCCCTGCAAAATCAAGAAGCAGAGAAAATACAAGGGGCGCAGAGCCCTGGAGCGAGAGATGCCAAACTTAGTCCACTTTTGGTTCGGTTTGGTTTTGGGACAGGAGCTCACTGTATAGCCCAGGCTGGCTTGTAACTTGCCCGGTAGCCCTTGATGGCCTTCAGCTCCTGTCCTTTCCACCCTCCTGTTTACCTGCTGAGATGATGCATGTACACTACCATACCCAGCAAAAAGTAGTCATTTCTTTGTTTTGTCCTATTTCCCAGAACTTCTGACATTTAAGTTCACTTTAATGGAAACCTTTTTGTGTTTTTTGTTGAGATGAGATCTTACTATGTGGCTCTGGCTGTCAGAATCCTTAAGTTAATCCTTAGCTTAGACTGCCACCTGCGTTTCAGTTACAGCTGTTCCAGTTTTCTCTGTGGCTCTGGATTCTACGAATGACCATTTTTGTTTGATGGAAATCTCAGGCAAGTGCTCTGTCACTGCACTGTCTCCAGCTTGATCACAGCCATTAACTGGACACTGGGCAGCGAGAGAGATACTCCAGAGTGGAGAACCCTGCTCTTCCAGAGGAAGAGTTCAGTTCCCAGCACCATGTCAGGCGGCTCACAGCTGCCTGTACCTCCAGCTCCAGGGAGCACAGCACCGCCTTATGGGCACTTGGCACCTGTGCTCATACCCACCACCCTCATGTAATTAAATCACAGATCTTGATTAAAAAGTAGACAAAGCTGGGTGTGGTGGCGCACACCTTTAATACCAGCACTCAGGAGGCAGAGGCAGGTGAATCTCTGAGTTTAAGGCCAGCCTGGGCTACAGAGTTGAGTTCCTGGACAGCCAGGGCTACCCAGAGAAATAAACAAAAGTATTGTTACTTATATGTATGTACATACTAGTTGTTACATGATTTGGTGGTGGTGGTTTTTCTGTTTGAGACATGGTCTCATTATACAACCCTGCCTAGACGCGGCCAAGTTGGCCTTGTACTAGGGATAGTACCCTTGTCTCTGCTTCACACTGGTTATCCATTATTCGTCATTTTAGTGTTAATATTTTTGGGTATGAACTTGTGCTTGTGTTTAATGCTAGCCTAATAAAATAATCAGATTAATTTTTTCCGGTGGCCATTAGAGCGTTTTTGTTTGTAACTTGGCAGACACTGCATATGCGAAGAACAAACTGAATGGGAAATGGTATTACTTTGATGATAGCAATGTGTCCCTGGCTTCTGAGGATCAGATAGTGGTGAGTACCCTGCCCAGGTACCTACTTCTCCCCGTTATCCTATCAAGTAAAAGCCAGAAAGGTCCTCTTAGGCGAGATGGTTTCTTCATTAGCTGGAGAGGCTCTGGGTGGAGTTAATGGACTGCCGTCATTCTAGATCTTTCCTAATGGAGCAGCTCAGTTTTCCTTGAGGTACTGTATCATAGTAACCCTGCATTTCCCCACAGCCATGGCAGGGTCATCGGGGGGCAGCTAGGAAAGGCCTTTATGGCTGCTCCTGGGTGTGGGTATTCGAGACAAGATGTCGGATTCCTGAAAGTGCTTGTTTATTGAGATTGCGCCTTCCTATATATTACTGACTATAAACTCATTTTGTATGTTAGGCTAGCCTCAAGCTTAAGGTAGTTCTCCTGCCTCTGCTTCCTGAGTGCTGGGACAGGTGTGTGTACCACATCCAGTTTAAGATTGATTTTTTTGAAACAGGGTTTCACTCGGAAGCCCAGGCTGGCTTTGAACTTGGAAAAAAATCCTCTTCTCTTAGGCTCTTCCTCCCCTTGCTGGCATTCTAGGCAAGAGCCATGATGAGTTTAGTAGTGTAACTGCGGAAGAGGTGGGGACCAGCGAGCCGTTCCCAGTGATGGACCCCGCCCCTTGCTGTGTTTTAGACGAAAGCTGCCTACGTGTTGTTCTATCAGCGTCGGGATGAGGAAGGCCACAGTGCGGCTCCGCTCACCAGTTTCCCGGGTTCTTCGGACGGAGGGACGAGACTGGGCAGCTCACAGCAGGGCTTGGCGGACGACGAGGCTTCCAACATGGACACCAACTGATGCTGATTCAGTGACTGCCACCGCACAGCACCGATGTCACCCCAGGAGAATGTCTCTGGAACTCTTGAAGACTGCTCATGTCAATCTAAAAACCAGCTGAGGAAATGACCTTCTTTATGAGAAGAGGAAAAAGAAAAAAAACAAAAACAAACAAACAAAAAAAGACCCTGCTCTCTCAGAAGGGTTATGTTAAGAGGCTGAATTATTTTTTCTTTTAAACAGGTGGTGATATAAAACGTGTGGAGATGGAATGTGGGGTGGGATTTGGTGCGCAGTGGTGTGTGTCTCATGGATTCCAAAGAATGGAGAGGAACACCCTGTATTGCGTATGGTGCAGCCATGAAGAACCATGCAGGGCTGCTCCGAACTCCTGGGTTTTGGGTTCTGGTGCCCACACTGGTCACCCCAGTAGTCTGGCCACAGTAAACCAAGCCTCCAGTAAAGTTGATGTTGTCCTCGAGTTCTTTGCTGTTCACTGAGATGGGTTTATAGTTTATAAACATTAGCCACCGGAACCCGTTTCTAGTCTCTGTGTTCTCAGAATTTCCCGGTTATTGGGGGTCTTGTTTTCAGTTTCTCATGGAACCTTGAAGTTCTGACTCCACTGCCCTCGATAAACAGACAGATTCTATGTGGAACTTTCAGTAGCTCTCCCTTAAAATAGGTCCATGCGTAAAACGGAGCAGTGTGGCGTTGTGTTCCGTGTTGGCCTCAGAAGAACACGGTGGGTCTTTGTCAGGTCTTCAAACACTCGAGTTAATGAGGTTTAAGAAAATACTTTTTCTGACCCGGTGGTGATGACCCACGCCTTTAATCTTAGCCCCCGGGAGGCAGAGGCAGGCGGATCTCTGAGTTCGAGGCCAGCCTGGTCTGCAGAGATCCAGGACAGCCAGGGCTGCACAGGGCGCAACCCCGCGCCCGCCCGCCCGCCCGCCCTGCCCCAGTACGTTTTCGGTGATAGATCCTTCCAGACCCGATCCCCTCCCGGATGCTGCCCGGTCACTCCCCCAGGCGCGTTACTCATTGCTCCCTGTCTGCTGACGGCCCCTCGGGCCTCGGCTGCCCTGTGGTCATGTGAGGCTCCACCGACCTTTAACCCAGTCCGTGAGGGTTGGCGTCGCCGGTCCGGGCACGTGAGCGAGCCGGTGACCGTTGGGCACCGGTGTGCGGCCACGGCTGGGTGAGGACGACGCAGCGGGGGCCCTGCCGGCCTAAACTGGCCATAGTTTGGGGACCCAGACAACAACTGGGGCGCAGTAGGGGCGGTGGGAAAGGCCTGGCGGGCACCAGCTGAGGGAGCCCTGGGGGTGGGGCGGCGCGGCCCGGGCCTGCGACCTGGGGTCCTCCGAGAATGGCGGGCAAAAGGAGGAGGATGTGGCGTAAGGGTGGGGCAAACTCACAATCGGGTTTAATCTCAGCCTTCGTATAGCATCATTGTTGCCGCGTTGCTCTGTGCGTTTCCAATTATTAAATAATAAAAGGCGTGGTCGCTTTTAGGGAGATGTCTGAGAAACTGCGAAGATGCAGGAAGGAGCTGACCGCAGCCATAGACCGAGCCTTTGAAGGAGTCAGGCATTCCCAGGAGTGTGCAGGCCCGCAGAGGCCGGACGCCTCGGCCTCGCTCGCCTCCCTGCCGGTGCACAGACTGCCCTGCAGAAACCCACTGGCTGCTTGCTCCTCGGCTGCCCCCTGCGCTGGTGCCTCGTGTTCTCCTGAGAATGAGAATCCCGTCTTTGCGCCACACCATGTCCCAGTTAATACAAAACCCCTTCCTTTATACCCCAAAAGAAAACCTCTGACCAGCAAGGAAAATGTGTTGATGCACTCTTCCATTTTGGCACGTGAAAGACAGTTTTGGAGAGCTGCGGGAGATGGGGAAAACTGGAGAAAAGAAAGTTTAAGGTGATTCTAATTCGATAGCTTAATAGCATCAATTAGGAAGAATTGTTTCCTTAAAAAAGTTGAACGTCACGGATTTGATTCATTACTAAGCTAGCCTTCTCTTGGAAGTGCTAAGAACGTACAGGAAATTATGTTCATCAGAATCTGACCCAACAGACAGTTATGTTTTGTTGTGTTGGGCTAAAAGTGTGGTTGATAACCCTAGATATCCAAACACTCATGAAAGCCAAAGGGTGGTCAGCGTTAAATAATTATTTTTAAATTTGTGGGTGGTGGTGAGGATTGAACCAAAGGCCTCATGCCAGGCAAACATTCGACCACTGATCTACAAGTCCTAGCAATGTTTCCCTTATACTTTGAGGGTTTTCCTAATTTGTATTGTATACGTGTGGATGTCTTGCCTGCAAGCATGTCTGTATGTACCACATGCATTCCCCCAGTGCCTGCAGAGGCCAGAAAGCCACGGCATTGTATCCCCTGGAATGAGAGTTACTGACAGTGAGCTGCCATGTAGGTGCTGTATATATCCGGAAGAGCAGACAGCGCTCTTAACTGATGAGCATCGCCAGCCGACCTAAAAAAGATTTTTTTCTATTTTTTAAAAATGTTTAGTATGTAGATGCTTGTATGTGGTGTGAGTGTAGGCACAGGTATGCCACAGTATGTATGTAGATGCTTGTATGTGGTGTGAGTGTAGGCACAGGTATGCCACAGTATGTATGTAGATGCTTGTATGTGGTGTGAGTGTAGGCACAGGTATGCCACAGTATGCCTATGGAAGTCAAGGGAAAAACTTGAGGAGCTGACTCTCCAACTCAAGTTGTCACGCTTCCATTTGCATTCCTGAGTCATTTTGCCAGCCTATTTTTGTTTTTAAGACGGTCTAAAGTAGACCATCTGGCTTTCCGCTCCTGTGTACTGAGGGTGACTTTGAACTCAGATCTCTTACGTCCCAAATGCAGGTATTACAGGCATGAGCTACCAGTCCTCAGTGATCTGATCTAAACCCAAACACAACCTTGGGCTGCAGAAACAGTCTTCTGTAGTCAGAGCCGGGGCACTAGCCTTTACCTTCCTCTGCCCACACTTAGATCCACGGCTAGGTCCTGCTTCCTGGTTTATCTTTATCTTTGTTTCAGCCAGGCTGTGGTGGCAGAGGCAGGTGGATCTCTGAGTTTGAGGCCAGCATGGTCTACAGAGCCAGTTCCAGGACAGCCAGGGGCACACAGAGAAATTTGATCTCGAAAAACCAAACCAAAACAAATTTTGACTATCTCCTTTAGACCTACTAAGTAACTACAAACTGCCTCACCCCAGGTACCTTGACTTAGAGCTGGGCTGATTGTATATGATATGAGTTAGCTGTGTGGCCATCTTGCCTATCCCAAAGTTAAGGAATTGAGAAGCTATTTAACTGCAAATATATGTGATGGTTTCATAAACATTAATGCAGCCTGTACTGGAATGGGTCATTATGATGTTGCTATTGGTTTACACTGATTTAGTTAGCAGTTTCTGGTTATTCTCATAGCATAAAAAGTAGTCACCAGTTAATTTTAGTCTTAGCTGGGGCATGGTGGCATGTCCTGAATTCCAAGCACTCAAGAGCTAGAGGCAGGGGGATCTCTGAATTTGAGGCAACCCCAGTTTACACATTAAGTTCCAGGCCAGCCAGGGCTACATAGTGAGACTGTGTCTTAAAACAACAGGAGCTGGAGAGATGACTCAGAGGTTAAAAGCATTGGCTGCTCTTCTAGAGGTCCTGAGTTCAATTCCCAGCAACCACGTGGTGGCTCACAACCATCTGTAATGAGATCTGGTCCCCTCTTCTGGCCTGCAGGCTACATGCAGACAGCACACTGTACATAATAAATCTTAAAAACAAAAACAACAAGAAAACACCAACCCAGTTGCATTTTAGATTATCTGAAGTTTTTAAATTATTTCCTGAAAGAATGTCTAATTCCCCATCTTCTTCCCTCTCCTCCACATCTAATCTGGACTGCAGGAAGGATATGGAGAGAGACTTAAAAGTTGACCCAAATATGCTGCTCAGCAGTTCTAGCCAAGAGGTCACAAAGGATCTGCTTGATATGATTGGTGAGTAGAGAGCTGGGCCATCCTTTCCTTGGTCCTTCACACAGGCCAGGAGTCCACACATCTTGTTTGGTAAATTTAGTTTGCTCACAGCAGACTCTGTAGAGAACAGTGAAATAATCAGTACTACTCCTTTCCTCAATGAACAGCTAACCTCGTGAGGTCACAGGTCAAACAGATCATTACCTAAGTATCTCCTAAGGATCTGGGGTCCCTGAAGGAAGAGATAACAGCCTCCAAGCCTTAGTGCTTGAATGTAGAGCTGAAGGAAATGGGGTACAGGCCTAAGGAAGGAGAGAGAATAAATTCCACCCAGAGTGGGAAACACAAAAGTGGAAGAAATCTTAGCTGAGTGGAGTAGCACCTACTTTAATCTCAGCACTTGAAAGGCAGAGGCAGGCAGATTTGTATGAATCTGAGGCCAGCCATGGCTGTAGAATGAGACACTGTCGAAGAGAATAAAATGCCATATCTCTCTGGAAGTAGCCACTTAGCATAGTCCTATATGTCCCGTTAGTTTTCCTTTTCAAATCTTTTTATTATTTTAGTTATGCATATGGCTTTGTGTATCTTAAGTGTGGGTATGTGCATATGAGTGTGGGTCCCCTCAAAGGCCTCCCTCTGGGGCTAGAATTACAGGTGGTTGTGAGTCACCAGGCATGGGTACCAGGAACTAAACCTGGGTCCTTTGCAAGAGCAGTAAGTGCTTTTAACTGCTGAGGC